TTGAGATATTCGATCAACAAGGTAATCTGAATCTTACTCCTCTTGTAGTGATTTCCACATATCACCGTTTGTAGAACAATACCATTTTTTTTTTTTTACAAGACGAGAATGTAATATGGAAATTTAGAGTTCTTGACCTTTTAGCTAATGGTATATATTTTACGTAAGTTGAATTATGCTGATATTAATATCATAATCATAAAAACGACCTTGTAAGTTAGGCGACTAAGTTGCTATTGCTAATAAATAATAAAAGTATGGTACTTTTAAATACTTTTATGTCAGGGAAAGAAGGAAAGTGAGAGGAAAAAGTGACTTTTTAAGAAGGCTCGCATGCTTAAAAAAATTCAGATCATGACGTTTAAAATTTTTATGTTGTTGCAATTCATGTTTACAATTTAAAATTTGAATTTGGTCTTTGATGGCCCTGACATTCCTCTATATCCTCTATGACATGGTTTCGTTACCGATTCATTACTTTTTTTAAGAGAGAAAAACTATCTCCACAGACAAACACGAGTCCTTTCAATATGGTCTGTTCTAGCTCATATGGATCTCAAGAAAATTCATAGGAGGTCACTCAACCACGTTTAATCAAATTTATGGTGCAGTTGATTATATTGATTAAAAAATATATTATTAGTTTGTCTAAAAAACAAATACTATTAATATGCATTTCCATAACCGTAGAAACAATAATGTTTTAAATAATGATAGAAAGAATTCACCTATAAATTAAATATCAAATCAAATCAGAATATCAGAAGCCGAGAAATTAAGTGAAAGGTTACAATGAAGTGTTATTTGTTAAACCTTTTTGTGTTTTCATCTTTTGTTTTTATTTTAACGATGCATGGAACGTCGTGCCTAACTGCAGCAAATTCAAAGTACATGAGGCCATTGAGTGAATGGACCGTGGGGATTGTGAACGAGCTTGGTCAAAATCAGGTCTTGTTCGTTCATTGCAAATCAAAAGATGACGATTTGGGTGACCATAATGTAACAAAGGGCCAGACTTATAAATGGCAATTCAAGGAGAATATAATTTCGACTACGCTCTTTTGGTGTACCTTAAGAACTTCAACTAATCAACACGTCAAATTGGAAGTATTTTGGAGAGAAAAAAGCGAGTGGCTAGCTTCTCATTGCAATTTTCGGTCTTGCATTTGGTATGCTCGGGATAACGGCATTTATTTACTTAACATTCCTCACAGTGCTTTCGAGTTTATACTTAACTGGGAACAATAGTTGGCCATTTGAGGCTTCCAAGATGAGGTACCGTTCTTTTTTTTATTCACGATCAAATCCATTGTTTACCATAATGGTTCAAAATAAAAGTAATACACATCTTATTTCAATTTCTGGCAACGGTTAGAGGTTGAATGCTTCGTTAATGCATCATTCCACTCTGGTAAAAAAAACGTTTCAAGATAATTAAAAATTAAATTCAATTTTGTTATTAGAAAAAACATTTTAAAAAAATTTATTAGTTAAAACATATTTATTTTGAATTTTAATCATAAAATAATCAAAATTTATAGGATACAATAAGAAAAATAAACGATGATACTTGTTCACTTCTTTCCAATTATGAGATTCCATATCAATTAAAGATTTGAACGAATCATTTCTGATAAAAATGTAGAAATATTTCCGTAAAATACGCGTTTTTTTAATACTGTGAGATTGACGACGATATGTAACGGATTAAAGTAGATAATATTTACAGTGTGAACTTGAATTGTTACAAATATTCTTAGAGTTAGACACCGGGTAGTGTGATAATGAGAACGTTGGCTCTCAATAAAGTGAATTGTGAGATCCCATATTATCCCAGCAAGTGCGAAAACTTGTTCTTAAACATTATTAAAAAAATACGGTGAAATAATAAATTAAATAATTAAATAAATAAAACAGAGTAATTAAATTAAAAAAAATAGTTAGCATTAAATATAAAAAGTATAATATTTGGTCCTTTTTTATGGGTTGACCATTGACTATGTGAAATATGCCTAAGTTCACTTTTCATTGAATATGACCTATTAATTGAGAAATTGAGAGGTGTCTGACACCATTATTGACTTTTTATTTAACATAATTTTTTTATATTTTTAAAAAATAACTCAATATATTCATCTATTATTCTTTGTATTTTTAATTATTGAATAAAATTTAAAATTATAAGCTAAATTAATATTAAAAAATACTTTTCAATTTTATGTAAAAGTTTCAATAATACGGTTAAATTTTTTTAAAAATTAAAAAAATATTTTTATAGTTAGTTTAGGCTCTTGAATTTTTAAAATAATTTTATAATACCATTTGAATTTTAAAAATATTTAAAAAATACAGATGATTTTTTAAATATTTTATTAATACTCTTTAAATTTTTTAAAAAAAAATTCAAAAATATCTTTACTAAGTAACATTAAAACGTAACCTATGAGATATTGAGAGACAATTTTAGTCCATATATTGGCGGTAATAATTTTTTATTTATTTATAAAAGTAAATAATGTTAATGCTAACGAAGCTTTTAAGAATTAAAGAATATTTTTGAAATATTATTAAAGTTTTAAGGATATTTTATTTATTGAAAACTAATGATAATAGTATTTTTAGATTTTTATTTTGAGTTTAAAAGTGTTATTTAAAATTTAAAAGTTTATGGGCATTTCTATTAATTTAGTCTTAATTTTACATCGACTTTGTGGACATTTCTTATTCCCATTATCTCAATGAAGCAAATTACTATCGATTTTAGGGATTACGCTAATTGAAGTCGATAAAATGTCGAACGTACACTTTCAACCGTGCAACATCTTGATCTTGACACACTTATGACAAGTTTTAATAGGATCTCAAGCCCCATTTACATTTTTTGCACTACTTTGTGGCTTCATCGAACATAAACGAAATTCTCCTTCGCCAAACGAACACAACTCATGCAAAATCTAAGCTTGTTCAACCACACACACTATCCGTGCATGCATATTCAATCGTCTACGATTCTAACCAACTTGCCTCTACTCTAGGCTACATCTCTCATTTGCAATGTCGCATCTCATCTTGTCATTTTTGTTCCCAGTGACACAACCCATTTATGATAATGACATCTCAAGTCTCGAGATGTCGTCAGCCTTTGCTAATCAAGAATCATCTATATCGTTGGAGCACCCCAAAATAATCTTGATTATCGACTATTTTCTATTCTCATTTGTCTGATTTTTAGGGTTTCGCTAATCGAAGGCGATAAATGTCGATTAATTACAAGTAATGACATCTTATCTCAAGCCTTCAATTATTACTACCCCAAATAAACATGTCACATTAAATAATGGAATTAAGTGACATAGATTATTTTAAACTAAGATACAAAAATAGAAGTTACTCTAGCTCCAATGAGACAAAATTAAATAATTATAAAAGGTGGAAAAAGTCAAATCAAGTAATAAATTCAGATCTATGAATTGCATTTATTTATATTATTATTGTCCATTTTTACATAAAAAAACACAGCCGTACACATGTCAGCTCAGTTCACTCATTATAATTTTTTCTTAATTAAATTTTATTTTTAATTTTTAAAATTGGTCAAAAGTTTTATTTATATAAATAAAGAAGTTATTATAATGTGACGAACAAATAATGCATTTAATTTTATTTTTCTAATTATTGTAATTAATAAAAAATTACACAAAATTAAAATATTGTAATGTGATGGGAAGGTGAAATAAATCTGTCCAAAATTAGGTGGGAATTAAATGCGACCATTCGCTATCCAATCAGTCAATTTCTTTTTTTTTTTTATTCTATTAATTAATTAAAGTTTTTCATTTTATTTATTTAAAATGGACCAAAAACTGTCATCGTCAATATTTAGTATATGAAAAAGACTTCAGAACTTCCCATTAAAAAAAAAAAATATATATATATTTTGAGTATATGTCCTTAAATTTTAAAATATTATATTTTTAATTTTAAATTTAAGTTTATGTTCCATGATTTTACATATTTATGGGGCCTAGCGTTTTTACTGGCACATCGCCCGGTGACTGACTCTAATATCATTTGTAACAGCTCAGAGGTCCAGTGTCCTTACTAACACACCGCCTCATGTCGCCTGATGACTGGCTCTAATACTATTTGTAACGGCCTAGGGGCCCAGTGTTCTTACTAGCACACCGCCTTGTGTAGCTGGATGACTAGCTTTAATACCATTTGTAACAACCCAGGGACCCAGTGTTCTTACTGGCACACCGCCTCATGTCGCTTGATGACTGGCTCTAATACCATTTGTAACGCACTAAGGGCCCAGTGTCCTTACTGGCACATCGCGTCATGTCGCTCAGTGACTCGCTCTAATACCATTTTTAACGCCCCAAGCCCACCGCTAGTAGATACCTCTTTGGACTTTTCCTTTCAAGCTTTTCTTCAAGGTTTTAAAAATGCGTCGGCGAGGGAAAGGTTTCCACATCTTGGTGTTTTGTTCTCCTCCCCAACTTACTCGGATCTCATAATTATTCATTGTTTTTTTAATTATATAAATAAATAAACAAATATATATTTTTTTAATATCTATTTAAATTGATTTAAAATTTAGTATTATAGAAGACACAAAATTAAATTTATTGATACAATTCATTAATTTAAATGACTATTAGACAAATAATTAAAAATATAAAAAATTTGTTTTTAATAATAATAAAAACAAAATAAACTTTAATTTAACCAATATTTTTGGAGTTATATTTTTAGTATAATTTTTTAAAAGATTATAAATGACGTCATAAAAAATTTGGTGCTTTCCAACACCTGTCGAGTCCAGCTAATATGAGGCCCTATCAAACTCTAACCAATCCAAGGCTGACACGTGAGAGAGGGATAGAGATGTCATTTTCTCAAACAATCGTGGTGTTTTGGGTATTTAGATTTTGTTTTTTAATTGTTGGAGTGTAATTAATATATGAATATTATTTTTGTATTTATTTTTTGAAAAGGAATGGCTTCAGGAGTTGGCAATGTCCTACAAAGCTCAGAGCAGCTCCCTCTGTTCGGCAGCTGAGCTGCTTCAATCCCCACAACAACCCTCTCTCTTTCTCTCTCTTCCCTTATCCCTTCAGTCACCTACAATTTCACCGCGTTTCCCTTCGAATCCACTTCCTCCAATGCCGAGAGCAGCGCAGGGGAATTAGGGGAAGATGCCGCTCGTCAGGGTGCAGGTCAAGAGCGAATTCGGGCTTGGAAAGCCCCATCTCTACAAGGAGGCCAATAATGAAGATCCCAAAGCTGTGCTTGACGGTGTAGCCGTTGCTGGCCTCGTTGGGATCTTGAGGCAGTTGGGTGATCTTGCGGAGTATGTTTCTTTTGCTTTCCCTGCTCTATATATATATGATGCTTCGGCGGTTTAGTTTCGAGTATTGAATGTATTTATGTTCTTGTTTCTAGGTATTTCTTAGGTCTCGTACCGTGTTCTCTTAGATTAATCTAAGTTAGGGAATTAGTGGAGTTATATTCACATCTGGAAATGGAAGGAATGTTTGGGAATTTTGTAATTCACTTGGAAATTGATTAGTTCCTTGAATGGGAACTTCATTTTTGTATCTTGTTTAGGAAACAGATATGGGAAGGAGACAATCAAATCAGAGTGGATTCTACTTTCCTTTTTAATTATGTTTTTTTCACGATTCATTTCATTCCTGCTAGTTTTCTTCTTTGTTTTTTAGAATATTACATTGTAGTTAGGTGAGTGTGAGATCCCATATTGGTTGGGGTGGAGAATGGAGCATTATTTATAAGGGTGTGGAAACCTCTATCTAGCAAGCGTGTTTCTAAAACCTTGAGGGGAAGCTTGAAGGGGAGAACCTAAAGAGGACAATGGGCTGGGACCTTTACAAATGGTATTATAACCAAACATAGGGTGATGTGCCAGCGAGGAGGTTGAGCCTTGAAGGGGGTGGACACGAGGCGGTGTGTTAGCAAGGACGCTGGACCCCGAAGGGGGGTGGATTGGGGGGTCCCACATCAATTGGAGAAGGGAACGAGTGCCAACGAGGACGCTGGGCCCCAAAGGGCGGTGGATTGTGAGATCGCACATTGGTTGGGGAGGAGAATGAAACATTCTTTATAAGGGTGTGGAAACCTCTAGGGTCTCACATCAATTGGAGAAGGGAACGAGTGTAAACAAGGACGCTGGGCCCTGAAAGGGGGTGGATTGTGAGATCTCACATCGGTTGGAGAAAGGGAGTGAGATCTCACATCGGCTGGCCCCCGAACATCCTCACTGGCACTCATTCCCTTTCTCCAATTGATGTGGGACCCCCCAACCTACCCCCCTTCAGGGCCAGCATCCTTGCTAGCACACCGCCTCGTTTCCACCCCCTTTGGGGCTCAGCCTCCTCACAAGCACATTGCCCGGTGTCTGACTCTGATACCATTTGTAATGGCCTAAGCCCACTGCTAGCAGATATTGTCCTCTTTGGGCTTTCCCTTTCGGGCTTCCCTTCAAGGTTTTTAAAACGTGTATGCTAGGGAGAGGTTTCCACACCCTTATAAAGAACGTTTCATTCCCTTCTCCAACTAATGTGGTATCGCACAAAAATGGTGCTAGACCATTAGAATTTCATTAGGAAATAGTTAGAGTTCGTCTGTAAGTTGTCTGAAAGATGATCATCATCTTTGTGTTGATATGCATATAGGGTCTTTGAAAAAGACTTTCACTTTGCTTGGTCCTTTGTGCAATGCAAGTATGTTGTTAAACAACATTTATACTGACTGGGATGGCATCATCCTGTGTTGTAGATTTGCGGGGGAGGTTTTTCATGGCTTGCAAGAACAGGTGATGGCAACAGCTTCCAGGAGCCGCAATGTGATTGCTCGTGTCAAACATATTGAAGCTGCCCTTCCTTCCCTAGAGAAGGCAATACTAGCTCAAACAAGTCACATTCATTTTGCTTACACAGCTGGTATGACTCAATTGCTACCCAAATCATTGATTACTTAGACTAAAGCATTATTTATTTCAATTTTTTTGGTGTTATCGACTTGTCCGTTGTAAATACTCTGGACCTGAATAGAGAATCCCTTGTCAGTATGATTAATTCGTAAAAATGACGAGGAACTGCTCTAAACTCCACCCCCGACCCGTAAACACGTACACAAACTACTATTTATTGACTAAAATACAGATTCCAGCCGTATGGTATTGTTTGTACCTCACTTCTACCGTGTATTCTCTGTTCTCTAACGTACACAAGTGTTAAATATTTCTTGGCTAAGAAGCACGGATACGGATACGAAACATAGACACGACACGACACAACACAGCACAGACATAGTGACATGTCATTTTTAAAAAATAAAGGACACGTACACGATAAGAACATGTTTATTTATATCTATTTAGAATGCTTAACAAGCATTTCATATGTGTCTGTCAAACGCTGGACTCATACTCACTTGATACAATTAGTGTTTGACTCGTATCTATTGTTCTAACAAGTGTCTGATGCATGTCCAATAAGTGTCGAAGTGTCCAACACACACTATCCGAACTAAACGCTTGTGCTTCTTAGCTGCAAAGTGAATGTTTGAAGGAGATAGTTTTCTGATTCACTGACAAGACGAGTGATTCTAGTTTATTTTAACTCGGTACTGGTCACAAACTTATCTTCATAAACTGGGTTTGTGTAGATGAGCTTTAGAGCAGCTCAGTTACTGTTTTCTATAGCATTTTAGCAACATTTGATATTTGCATAATGTAAAGCAGTTGCTTTGCAGGTTCTGAGTGGCATCCTCGTATTCAAACAGACCAAAATCACTTCATCTATCATGATTTGCCACGATTTATTATGGATTCCTATGAAGAATGTCGTGATCCTCCACAACTTCATTTGCTCGACAAGTATGTTCAGTTCGTTATCGTTTTTTAACATATTTCTTCTTATTGAAAATGAGAGGCAAGCTTGACAATGTTGTTCTTCTCTCCATTAGATTTGATACGGGGGGTCCTGGATCTTGTTTAAAGCGTTATTCAGATCCAACATTCTTCAGAAGAATATCAACCTCAGGAAAAGTAAGCTTGGAGAAGGTTCGAAGTGATAAAAAGGCTCAAAAGATCAAGGTATGTACTGAAAATCTAGGGGTTGTGCTATGTGCACTTCTTGAATAAGTGGCTAGCTTTCTAGTTTTTTGTAACAGCTCACCGCTAGCAGATATTATCCTCTTTGGGCTTTCCCTTTCGGGCTTCCCCTCAAGGTTTCTAAAACGTATCTGCTAGAGAGAGGTTTCCACACCCTTATAAAAACTGTTTCATTCACCTCCCCAACGTGGGATCTCACAATCCACCCCCCTTCGGGGCCCAGCATCCTCGCTGGCACTCGTTCCTTTCTCCAATCAATGAACCTTGAGGGGAAGCCCTTGAAGGGAAAGCCCAAAGAGAACAATATCTGCTAGGTAAGCCATTAACGTTAGAACTCAAGGGCACAGTAGTACAACCTATGGAACAGATCCTGGTCAAATGGTTGAGAATGTGGAGTCATTGTTTTATTTAATATTCTTGAAATCAAAGATTGGCTCTGTCATTTTGACAAATAAATTAACAACGCACAGAGAAAACGATCATTGATGCGCAACAGAGAAGTGACATGTGGTGCATCAATTCCCAGTTTTAATAGCAGGTATTAATAACTAACAGTTAGCTTTTGGACATTCCATCTTTAGTTGAATAGAACACTGACAACTAGATATGCAGCTTGCAGTATAACTCCATTTCCAATGAAGTAGCTTCCTTTTCTCAAACTGCTACAGCTGATATAAGGATGAAATCAGATGCTGGGGAGTCTTCAAATTCTTTTGATTCCGGAACTGGGTCGCGATATACCGGAAGTGTTACGAAATTAGATTCTTCCTTGCAAACTAAAGAACAGGAATTTAGGGAATCTTCAAATTCAAGCATGATGCAGTTTAATGATGCTGTTGATTCACTTGCCTCAGATGAACAAAGTAGGATGGTAGATGATAAATTTCAATTTGAATTAGATGATCCAATTGATTTGAGTTTCTGTTCTCATGTCACATGGGATGAAAAGGCAGAAATAATGAAGCCCAGGAATCAGCAAGATAGTGTAGAAAAGATAGAAATGTTGCAGCCAATAGGTCAACAGGATGTTAGAGATATGGGTGAAATTATGCAGCCGAGAACCGGAAAGGATGTCGGAGAAATGGAAGAAATTATACAGCCAAGGTCCCAACAGGATGTTAGAGAAAAGGAAGAAATTGTGCAGCCAAGGACTCAAAAGAGAGTAAGAGAAATAGCTGCAATGTTGGAGAAAAAGTCCCGACGGGATGTTACTGAAATGACAGAAGTTGTGCAGCCAAGGACTGAAAAGGGTGTTAGAGAAAGGGCAGAAATTGTGCAGCCAAGGTCCCAACAGGATGTTAGAGAAATGGCGGAACATGTGCCGCCTATGGCTCGAAACGATGTCAGAGAAATGGACGACATTGTGCAGCCAAGGTCCCAACAGGATGGTACAGGAATGACAGAAAATCTGCAGCCAAGGACTCAAAAGGGTGTCAGTGAAATGGCAGACATTGTGCAGCCTAGGACTCAACAGGATGTTAGTAAAATGGAGGAACTTGTGCAGCCAAGGACTCAACAACAGGATGGCATAGAAAAGCCAGAAATGGTGGAGCCGGGTAGTCGACAGGGTGATAGCGAAAAATTGATAGGGGAGTCAAGGCGTCAACAGTATGATAAAGATGAAGAATATAATGTTCCTATTCCTGAATCTACCCTGGATCCACAGGAAATGGAAGGCTTTTACCTCAGAAATGATGAACAAACGAGCACGCCTGCTAGTAATGGCCACCAGCTAGAATCCGTTAATGACGGGAATGTATTTGATGAAGTCGAAAGTGAAACGGATAATTATATGGATGCCCTCAACACCATTGAATCAGAATCTGAAAGTGACCTTGATTGTCAGACGAAACGAGAAGTCGAGCCATGCTCATCCACTATAAAGTGTGAAGTAGTAGAACCAGTGCATGACGTCCTTGAATTGAGTTTGGATCCTGATATTTCGATTCTTAACCCGAGTAATGAGCCTCAAGGTATGATGTCCAGTCTGCCAAATTTAGTTTCTTCAGATAGTTTTTACCATGATCAAAGGCTCGAAAATGCCGTGAAGGATTCTAGCCTCGACGATCCCCTAGTAACTAATTTGCATGACAAGGAAAGTTCCATATCAGAATCTGATATCAGTGACTCCTTCCCTCCTGACTCCACTTCTAGTTTCGAGGATCAGTCGGGAGTTAAATTATTGAACACGGTGCACGAATCGCACGAATCTGAAAAAGCTTCTTTCTCCAGCAATCCGTTAGATAAGTTCTGGACTAATGGTGGCTTGCTTGGACTTCAGCCATCAAAACCTCCTTCTTGGGCTGTATCAAATGCTTCTCGTGAGGACGCGAGTAAAGGCGAAAAACATGGCCCTTCTCATCATGCGTTTTTGATCAATGGTAATGCACAAGAAATGAAAATGGGTACTTTTCCCAAAGATGCTATTAACAATGAGAATGATTCAACTTCTAATAAGTCCTCATTGCATCACGATGATCAGAAATACGATACGTCTCGGGTATTGTCAAGAGATGAAGGTCTTGATGTTAATCATTCAAGCAATGGATCTAATTGTGTCCATATGAATGATATGGCAAAAACCATTATGGAGAAAGATGAAGATTCCAATCAGAATTCTGGACTTAGCCATCAATTGCTTGTAAATGGCTTTCATAGAAAACTAACGCTAACACAAGATGAAAGGTTTGAGACTACGTCTGGTCCAGATTCATGTCCTCCTTCACCCCCACTTGATCACATGAAAATCTCTTTCCATCCTGTTTCTGGTTTTGAAATTTCAAAATTGAAATTGAGATTTCCCGACGACAGTGAAGGCCGAGGAAGCACGAACGACATATTTCCATCATTTCAGTTGGCTCCCGTGGAGTCTATTTCTGTGCATGAGATTGGCTCTGAGTCTGATGACGACGACACATTCTGTAGATCATCTCCATGTATGTCAGATGATTGTCTTAGTGATCGCTCTAAGTCGAATTCTGACCTGTGGGAATCAGACGACGTTTCAGAAAGCACGTGCAAGAATTCGTATGATTTACACATATCACAGATGGCATCATCATTTGAGGGAATCACAAAAAGTGGGACTACTGTGGATGGTGAAAGTGAAAATTTGTACACTAGGAAGGGTATGGATGAATCGTTTTCGGGTCCGTTACTTGATCTTCCATGTTTTGACATTGTGAACACTGTAATGAGTGAAAGAATTGATGATATTGATGCAATGAATCTTCTTAAGCCGCAATGTTCAGATAATCCTGCTCCGGCTGTGCCTCCTCTTCCTCCTGCACAATGGTGTGTATCAAAAACATCCTTGAATGTGTCTGAAGACCTGAAGGATTTATCTGCTCGGTCAGAACAGGTGGAACCAATTGTCTTGCAGCAGCAAATAACTCATGAGCCCATTGCAACCAAGCCAAATGACAATGTAAATAGTAGTATAGTGGTTATTTTGATAGCAAACATAAACAACCAGGATGACTTAAGGCGTGGGAAGTTCTAATTGTTTATACATTTATTGTTGAATGTAGAAGCCAGAACAAGTGATGGTGGATGGTAAAAAAGAACTAAACCGCATTGGAAATGGGCAAGTGATGGATGCGAGGGAAGATTTTCTGCAACAAATTAGAGAAAAAGTAAGAAATTTTCTTACGTTTTTGTTTAACATTCGTTTTCTTTTATTGATTTAGTTTGATTCTGATGGATATTGAATTACCCTAATGGATGTGAACCTGCTGCATATGTGTAACGGCCCAAGCCCACTACTAGCCAATATTGTCCTCTTTGGACTTTCACTTTTGGACTTTCCCTCAAGGTTTTTAAAAACGTTTAGGGAGAGGTTTCCACACCCTTACAAAGGATGATTTGTTCTCCCCAACCGATGTGGGATCTCACAATCCACCCCCCTTCAGCGCCCAGCGTCCTCGCTGATATTCGTTCCCTTCTCCAATCGATGTGGGACTCCCCCAATCCACCCACATCCTTATAAATGGTGTTTCGTTTTTCTCTCCAACTGATGTGAGATCTCACAATCTACCCTCCTTCGGGACCCAGCGTCCTCGCTGGCACTCGTTCTCTTCTCCAATCAATGTGAGACTCCCCCAATCCACCTCCCTTTGGGGCCCAATGTCCTTGCTGGCACACTGCCTCGTGCCCACCCCCCTTCGAGGCTCAGGCTCCTCGTTGGCACATCGCCCGGTGTCTGGCTCTAATACCATTTGTAACGGTCCAAACCCACCACTAGCAGTGTCCTCTTTGAGTTTTCCATTTCGGACTTTCTTTCAAGATTTTTAAAATGCGTTTGCTAGGGAGAGGTTTCCACACTCTTATAAAGGGTGTTTTGTTCTCCTCCCCAACCGATGTGGAATCTCACAATCCACCCCCTTCGGAGTCCAACGTCCTCATTGGCAATTGTTCCTTTCTCCAATCAATGTGGGACCCCCCCCCTCCCTCCCCCCAATCCCACCCCCTTTGGAGCTAGCATCCTTGTTGGCACACCACCTCATGTCCACTCCCCTTTGAGGCTCAGCTTCCTCTTTGGCACATTGCCCCGTGTCTGTCCTCTTTGAACTTTCCCTCAAAGTTTTTAAAACGCGTATGCTAGGGAGAGGTTTCTACACCTTTATAAAGGGTATTTCGTTCTCTCCCCAACCAATATAGGATCTCACAATGTGATACATGGTCAGTTTTATTCCTTGCACAAAAGCTCTGCAAATCAAATCATCCAAGTATACAGACTGGTTTTGTTGTGAATTCAACTCTATACTAATACCAAGGCCATAGCATGCATACATTAGCACTTGTGGATTCGGAGATCATACGCATGAACTCACGTCGGTCATCATGTTTGTGACGCATTCGTAGTATTCTTATTATATTAACTAGACATTTGCCTCTATACTGAAATTTGAAAGCTGCCCTTGAAGATTCTTATATCATCATTTTTGTTGCCAAGATTTCCTTTGTTCACATAAGATCAAAAGTTATATAGTTCATGTTAATAACTATTCTCGACCATGTTATCCCCAGTCATTCAACCTAAGACCTACAATGACTGAGAAGGCCAGTACTACAGCAGGACCTGCAACCCATGTCAAAGTCACAGCAATTTTGGAGAAAGCCAACGCGATTCGCCAGGTTCTTCATTGTCTTGTTTTCCAACTATGCACACTATATATATACATGAAAGACTCGCCATAACTATTGAGTCGTTTTGCAGGCTGTTGGAAGTGACAACGGCGAAGATGACGATTCTTGGAGTGATGCCTGATTGTAGATATGAAACCTATGTTTCCCGGAGACAACTCTCATAAAGATGTTAATAGTTGCATATGTAATAAACTCATGGTATGTCTTGTGAATAAGCTTATTTACTTTTGTAAGTTTGAGTAGTCGAGTTTACCTTCCTTTTTGACTTATATTACCTTAGAGAGAACCTGTCAATTCCTTGTAAGCATCGAGAATTCTAAGTATTAGGTTCTGGGAAAGATATGTTTCATCATACTTGCAGGCTGCAGCAAGCAATAGAGTGCATAAAAGAAAGCCTGAAAATGGTTGTAAATTCGATTCTTTTAGCTTTTCCTCTGTCTCTTCGATTGTCTTTGTGATTGTGAGATCCCATATCGATTGAGGAGGAGAATGAAGTATTGTTTATAAGGGTATGGAAACCTCTTCCTAGCAGACGGGTTTTAAAAACTTTGAGGAGAAGTCCCAAAGCCTAAAAGAGAAAGTCCGAAGAGGACAATATATGCTAGTAGTGGGCTTGGACTGTTATAAATGGTATCAGAGCCAAATATCAGGTGATGTGCCAATGAGAAGGCTATGCCCCAAGAGGGGTGGACGCGAGGCGATGTGCCGACAAAGAAGCTGAGCCTCAAAAGTGGTGGATTGGAGGGTCCCACATCGATTGGAGAAGGGAACAAGTGCCAGCGAGAACGTTGGGCCTCGAAGGGGGTGGATTGTGCATCAGTTGGGGGAGAATGAAAAACCCTTTATAAGGGTGTGAAAACCTCACCCTAGTAGCTAGTAGATGCATTTTAAATCCTTGTGGGGAAATCTGAAAGGAAAAGCCCAAAGAAGACAATATCTGTTAGTGGTGGACTTGAGTCGTTACGGCCTTTCTAATGAGTATCTATTCTGATCGGATTAGATTGACCTTTTCCTCCCTCCGAAAGTTAACGTTTTGTCATCATTCATGGACGGAAAAGAAAAGAAATAAAGAGTTGAAAAGTGTTGCATTCCATGTAAGAAGACCAAAAGGGGAAGTAAAGTACGCTGGTAAAGTCTTCAAAGAATCATTCAAAGAAATACTAAAAAAAAAAAAAAAGAAGGGTCAAGTCTTGGATTGTAATATCCCAGAAACTACAGAATTTTATTGACCAAGAAAGAGCAACTTCCAATGGAAGAAACTCCAACATTATGTTAACATGTAACGATCCAGATCCATCACTAGTAGATATTGTATTATTTGGACTTTCCCTTAAGACTTTAAAATATGTTTGCTAGGAGAAGGTTTCCACACCCTTATAAAGGCCTTCGGGGCCTAGCGTCCTCGCTGGCACTCGTTCCTTTCTCCAATCGATGTGGGATCCACCCCCTATAAGGCCCAACGTCCTTACTGGCACATCACCTCGTGTCTATCCCCTTCGGGGAATAGCGAGAAGGCTGACACATCGTTCAGTGTCTAGCTCTAATATCATTTGTAACAACTCAGATTCACCGCTAGCAGATATTGTTCTGTTTGGACTTTCCGTTTCGGGCTTTCCCTCAAGGCTTTAAAACGTGTATGCTAGAATAATGTTTTCACATCCTTAAAAAGAGTATTTTGTTCTCCTGGAGATATAAGTACTAATCTAAAACATAAATTTCGCATCACAAATATTTTAGGGTTTATATTTTAAAGTTTGAAAGGGAAACCTTTCAACTTGTAGCACTGATTGGAATGAACAGTGTATTAAAGAATATGAAAAAAAAATTAATTATTTATTTCTTTAACTTTTAGTCTATTTAGTCATAAATTATAAATTTAAACGTTTAAAAATTTTTAAATTTTGTGACTAATAGATTATAAAAATTTAAAAATATTTAATAGATTTCTAACGTTGAAATTTTGTATTTATTAGGCGGTTTGACATATTCAAAAATTTTAAAAAGTAATTGATAATATGTATAAAATTAAAGAAATTTTCGTGTTACAGTAACAGTCCAAGCTCACCACCAGTAGATATTTTCTGCTTCGCCGGCACATTATGTATTGTTGTCAACTTCACGATTTTTAAAACGCTTCTACTAGAGAGAGGTTTTCACAACCTTATAAGGAATATTTCATTCCTGAACATCCATCCATCTAGGTTCCATCAAACATCAAACTCTCCTGTGTTCATGCTAAATCATTTAGGTGTACGTTCTAGATAGCGGGTGCATAATATAACTTCTGACACATGGGCTAAGCGCAATATCGGCACACCTGTGTCGTCCGGTACTGTCCTTGAAAGACCATTTTCAAAGGATGACGCGCAATATTGGCACACCTGTGTCGTCCTGTACTGTCTTTGAAAGACTCTTTTCAAAGGATGATGCCCAAGACGCTCACCCATGCTATGACACATGTATGTGCTAGAGGGTAGCTTGCTTAGGCCATTGTGATAAGGGGTAGTGGAGAGCTAACACCATTCCTCCCCTACAATACATTTTGAGGCATTGTCAATCCTTCTTGAGTAGATGTATTTTTGGCGAACGGACATATGATCTCGTGCATAGTTCGTAGAGTACCCGATTGACACGAAATTTGGCAAGCTTTCATCTTTCATATAGACGGACTTAATTTTCGAGCCGCGTGTCGAAACTTCAACTTCTGAGATTAAAGCCCATGGCCCTACCCAACCCTCTTTAAGCCTGTCTTCAACACTTGTGTCACATCGTTCTCTCGAACCTTGGGTATACCTCGACTTAGTTTCAATGCACGCTCTTGGTGTGTTGGATGATGCACCATCCTCATTGGTCACATCATAACACTTCTCAATCTTGGCGTTCACGTAGCCAAATGGGTATCACTTGAGGGTCGCCCCCTATGTGTCTTGTGTGTGGGGTCACAGCCTATTTCCTCTCAATGAGGTTGTGACACTCTCCCCGACTTAACCCAGTTATCATCCTTGATGACTTTCTCAGGGCACAATCGTATCGTCAATTATGACAAGTAGCACGCAAGTCGAGACCATGTTGCATGATTTAAGACTCTAGCTAAGCCATTTGCTATTGAAACCCACCTAGACACTCGTAATAGGCCTAGTTGGTCGGTTGAGGGTGAGGCACGATAGGCAATCATAATAACAATAAAGTTTTTGAGAAACTAAGAAGAACCAAGCCCAAAGATGCTTTGTACTCACTCACATGCATCCTACGAAAGTTTTCAAAAGGTCACCCAACATATAATGACTCCATACTCTCCATGATTGAGCTACCGAAAAAAAAAGTACACCTTGTTGATACAAGTAATGTCTTTCAATTCTTTTAAGCCTTCTTTAACCATCCTATCCTCATGATCGCAGTCTCGATTCATTCATATACTTCTCTTTTACTCGAGTATCACAAATTCCAACTCACAACCATGACTAATTTTAACTATTACACGAACAAATCATATTTAAAACTACATATAATAAACCAAGTTGAAGATATCATATCAAAGACATATCTTCATACATTATAATATGAAAAAGATCAAATCTTCAAATTTAAAAATGGAAAAAAGAAAGGAAAGAAATAGTGATGGAAAGCATCCCAAACAAAAGTGCATCTCTTTCCAATGAAAAATGGTGTTTTGTCTATCATAATATAAGTGCAAAAAAAGCTGTTCTTGGAAAAGAGGGTTACTTTCATATTAAGTTTATAAAAAAGATTGCTTTATTTAAAGCAAATCCATTTATTAAAAGCATTCCCTAACTTTATAACCCTTTTAAAAAACCAAGTATCATCAAAGTTAACTCACCAAATACATGCATTCAAACCCACCTAAAAAAGTCGATTCAATCTTAAAAATTTTGATTACGACCCACAAATACGTTTTCGTTTTAAAAAGTAACGAAATTTGCTACGTGGGTTCTGATCGTACAATGTTTATAGATATATATATGAAACGAAAAAGACTCTTTTAGATCAGTAAATCATGTTCGGTTGTTCCTTTAGTAAAGTTATTGAGTTGCTCTGTTTACGACGTGGGGTTCAAATATTCTTTTCATAAAACCAAAACAACTGGCTAAAGCCTGTTTGAGAATCATTTTGTTTTAGGTTTTCTGATTCCTCGGGAATATATTTTTTAAAATAGGTATCAAAATAAAAATAAAAATAGGGTTTATAATAAGATGGGTTAAAATTTTTGAAGAATTTTTATGTGAATGTCAACTCTGTCCATGTGCTAAGATTTGTAAAATTGTATAGATTAATAAAAAAGAGCATATTATAAACTAAATAATTGATATAATAATGAAAAAAATATATACCCTAAGTATAACGCTACCAACAATCATCCATAATAATTTATTGTTGGTAGAATAATTTGGTATTATTTTTCAAACAACTTGATTATTATAATTAAAAATTTGTTATTATTTATTATAATTAAAAAATGTTATTGATTATTATAAGCATAAAATGATTGTTTGAAAAGCAAAAGATTAAATAATTTGTGGAAATTTTAATTCCGATCCAATCCATATATTACACGACAAAATCATTTTAATTCTTTTATTATTATTATTATTATTATTATTTTTCTTTTGGGTTGGTGAGTTGTGGGAGAGTGATGGAATTTTATATATTTTTTTAATATCCTCTCTCATTTGAAAAACAAAATCCCGATATAGCTCGTTAATGGTCGTGGCATTTCTTTGCATCTCCTGTTGTTTGTCCGTTTTGGCTCGTTATATATTACCATCAGTCTCACGGTTTTAAAACGTGAAAAGGAGAGGTTTCCACACCATTATAGAGAATGCACGGTTTTGTTTCTCTCTTTAACCGATGTAGGATCTCATAATCTACTCTTCTCTGGACAGGGTCTAGCCCTACTCTGACTAGTACCTCGCACCGTCCGGTGATTGACTCTGATACCATTTGTAATAGCCCAATCCCTCTGCTATCATTTGTCGTCAGCCTCACGGATTTAATATGCGTATATTAGGGTGAGGTTTCCACACCGTTATAAATGTTTTTCTCCCCTCTCCAACAAATGTGGAATCTCACAACTGCGATATTATTGCATTATCTACTTGTATTGAACTGCTTCTAAGAGTGAAATTTTATCTCTACAAACCAACGCGAGTTCTTTTAGTACGTTTTGTCCTTACTCATATACAATACTTGAATTCTCGATGTAGATGCTACATAGTTGGTTCATCCTTCAGTGACTACGAGTGTAATAGAAGCATCCGGATCACCCTAAGATGATCATCACATGGCTATTGAGAACGAATCAAATCAAGTGGTTTAATTTCTCAATCTTTCTGACTTGCTCCTACGAAATTAAGGTCGAAAATATTGAGAAAAATCAGTCATTCACAACCACTAATGAATGATTCCTCGAAAAGTTAACGATTAGTAATCCTTTTTAGAAATCAAATGGATTCGACCTTATACATACACGAGGAAGGTAATAAAGAGACTAGGTTAGGGTCAAGGGTACGTAATCTCTATTTTCGACCTTTTTTAGCTAACAAGGAGAAATCACTCCTGACTCACTCTCTCATTGTCTATTCCGTTCGAGGCAGGTCTTTTAAAAGTGAGTCGAGACTGGGTTAGAGTAGAAAAATATAATCTCCATCTTTGACCTTGTTTAGCTAACAAAGAGAAATCCCTCCCGACTCACTCTCTCCTTCTTTATTCCATTTGAGGCAGGTCCCTTTACCATCGAAAGACGTCTCTCAATGATTATCATCATATTTTTATAATGTTTAAAAAGAAAGAAAGAAGATGATAATGATGATGTAGTGAAGCAATGATGTGTACAAAAAGCTCATCCAAACCTTTTCTTTTCCTTCTCACCAACCTCTCTCTTCACTTACCCTTTTCCCCTTTTTCCTTTCAATTATAAAGTCCCCATTTTTAATCCCAATTCCCCCAAACCACCTCTCTCTCTGCCTCTCTCTCTGCCTCTCTCTCTCTCTCAATGATGGCGGAGAGAAACAAGTATGAAGACGACGAGGGTGGAATCAAGCTATTTGGGACAACAATTACGTTGCAAAACAAGAGGCAAATGAAAGAAGAAGACACCAACAAATCAGAATCAGCTGAAAAAAAACCGGACAAGATGATTCCTTGCCCAAGATGCAAAAGCCCCGACACCAAATTTTGTTATTTCAATAACTACAACGTTAATCAGCCAAGACATTTCTGTAAGGGCTGCCAGAGATACTGGACGGCCGGTGGCGCCCTCCGCAACGTCCCCGTCGGAGCCGGCCGCCGGAAAACCAAGCCTCCTTGTCGGACCTTTGATGGGTTGCCGGAGAATTGTGTCTTTGATTCTTCAGGGATGGTGGCGGTGCAGCCGTTTGAGTTGGAGGAGTGGCACGGTGGTTTCAACCAAATTTCACCGGTGAAGCGGCGGAGAGATTGCCAAGATGGTCAAACTTGTTGATTCCTATCCCTTTTTCCCTTTTTTTTTTTTGCTTTTGTGTCAAGAATTTCAAATTTGAAAGAAGAAACTTGTTTTTGTACAAATATAGACTTTGTTTATAGTTTTTGGGAGAAAAAAGATTGGATTTTTAATGCTATGATCTTGATCATCATCAATAATTACTCTCTTAAAGGTCAAAGCCATGTTTTATAATTGATTACATAAACACCCAATTAAATTAGGATTAAGATGCTTAATGATTGCAAGCTACCTGATTGAAAAATAGGGAGAATAGTTCTTTAGATGGGTTTTGATTAATTCATTCAATAAGTTTTTAGTTTTTGTATTATTTAGTTATTAATCATTTTTTCTTGCAAAGCTATGAAGATTCAGCTTTCTCAACGTTGGAGGAAGAAATGAGAGAGTTTCTCATCGATTTTGGGTTGATATTTCAAAACCCATATGATAAGATCAAGAATTACGATCAATAGATAGTTGAGGTGCACACAAGTTTGATGTCATGAATGTTATGATCAATATAGTTGAGATGCACGTAAGTCGAGAGAACTAACTTAGCATACGATGTTTGGTGAGGTTAATTGTAACAGTTTTTTCACAAAATTCTTATCAATGATGTTCGTCGTTTACTAGAAAAACTTGGGTAGATATCTTCTCAATGGTCGCTGTCCACCAGCCGCTAGTGAGTTCGATTCTAGTTTTCGAAATTTAAAACATTTAAATGTGAGTTTAATTTTCAGGTCTTATTTGTTGGTTAAAAGTTGTTTAGGAATGATTTTCATCTTGCATTCGTGGAGATATCTATGGGTTTAAGTGGGTTGGTATAAATTTATCGAAACTCATTTGAGATTTATTTAGATGTCTCAATTGTAGTGAAAGTAACGTTAAAAGGGTTTCAACATGAAATGAAATGTAATTATATGTATGTATAACTATATAAATATTCGTGAAATATTTGCTCATCAACACGAGCATAGTTTAAAATATATATATATATATATATATTTTTAGAATTTAATATATCTTTTACCTGCATGTGATATATATTGGAACCATATTTTCAATGTCTTCTCTCAAGTCGGAGGTTTTATTCCCACAAACACTAAGCTTTGAATGTTTCAGAATTTATAGGATCTGAGGAACATTTATCATGTTTGGTGCATGATGTTTGTTTTTGTAAGTTTGCCCTTTCATTGTTGCCTTCAAGTCCTGTGAATTGTCGTGCCATAAACTAATTTCAACCTTTTTTTTCTTCCTCGATTGAGATTTGTCTGGTTTTTTTAGATATGTAACACGTTTTATAGAATAAAAATACTGTTAAACGACTCGTATCATATTTCTCAACATTTTTTGACCCTTTGCGCAATAGCATAAGGGTGTCCTCCAAAAAGGAAAAAAAAAAAAAAAAAAACTTTAGTTTTTTGCTTTCTTTAGTTATTTAAATCGAGAACACATGTATATGAGAGTGATTCTTAAGATATGATGGTTGCGTATATAAATTCGGCGTAACTTCCTTTTCGATGATTCATACGTAAAAACTTCAATATTAAACATGTTTTGCTTAGAGCAATTCTATATTGGGTGATATCGTAGGATTTTTTCTAGAACAAAACATGCAAAAAAAGACCTGTTGCAAGAGATGCAAGAAAAAGCAATCCAAGACGGTAGATAATACGATCATGTCACAAAGAATGTAGTAGAATGTTAAGGTCATCAAAAACCAAATCTAAATTCCAAATCCTGTACATAATGTATTTCAAGCACCTATGTTATCTACTTTTACTTTGCTAAACACAACTTAAGTCTTCCGCAAGTAGTTATTGTCCGTTTTGGTCCATTATGTATTGTCGTTAACCTCACGATTTTAAAACGTATTTGTCGTATTTGTTAGAGAAAAACGTGTTTGACAAAGAGAAGTTTTCACACTCTTATAAGCAATGTTTCATTCCCTTTCCAACCAACGTCTGATCTCACAGCTTTCCTACTGATGCATGAAAACTCAAACGACTCAAACCAAGTCTACTGACAGTGCAAGAATTGAGATAGTTACCCAACTCCATTAGAACAAATATCAATAATTGGAACCAGTCAAAGCGACATGGAAGAAGAAATGGACTTCACAAGAATAAATAGAGTGATCATCAACAAAGATGGCCAGAACAGCTCCCAAGTAAAATCTTCTAATTATCAAGTTGGTTTAAGATACCAGTATATCAATGTTGTTTCTTCTTCAACATCATTACTGTAGAAACAAATGTAGAACTACCCTTAATTTCTCTGTAGTCAAAGCTTTTACATGGGCAGAGAAACTCATATACAAAGCTACTTACATCCAAGCTACACTATACTAAACTGTGACAATGCAAATAATCTGTGGTATTCTCTCATCCTTGTAACCTGCTGATCCTTCAACATGATTGAACACTACTACACAGGCAGATATTACTCACCGCTATGAGCTAGCTACCTGTGGGGGCTGCCAGCCAAAATGATTCTTGTTGCTTGAGGGTGTCTGCGACATGAGCTACCACACCAGCACCAGCATTGTAAAGCCATTCATTTTTCACCTGAATTCATGATACATAAGTATTAGCAACCGAGAAGAAATAGCTCGAAATGGGGAAACGATCAGAAACGAACATGGATGTTGTTATGCGCGAAGAATGGCCAGAATGAGGAGTGAAAGCTGACATCAACTTTTTTCCATGCCACCTGTTGCAAGCCTCGGATCATCTCCTCTGGAAAGAAAATGAGGGGCCATCAATACACCAATGATATCGTGCGAGGAAACAATCACCTAATAATCACGTTTAACTTCCTGCTGGAGTTGGCTTTGTACCTTCCATGATTTCATAATAATCCACCGTGTCGTGCGCAATGGGTGATTTTTGTGCCGCCTCCTTTCTTTGAGCTGCTTCTGGGGGGAAATTGGCACCCGCAGAGGGAACAGGAGGATAATAGTCTGCGTCTACAACATGCATGTAACCATCCAAACATCGGCGAGGGGGCTTCCAAGAATTATAGAAGATGTCAGAATGATAATGTATACTACTCACATACTTGCAACATTCGTATACTCCTACACCTTCCGAACCACAATTTTGTTTCTGAATATGGCTAAGAACTCAAATGTTTCCTTAGGAATAAAGACAACTATTGTGAAGAGTTCGGGAGAAAACAAGCACAATTTTCAAAAACTAAATCAAATCGCTATGGGTACTCCTAGTGGTCAAGAAGAGTCATATAAATAATAAAGGGCCTAGAGGGAGTGAGTTCAAGCAGTGGACACCGCTATTTTAATATCCTAGAGTTATTTTGGCAACCAAATATAGTAGGTTAATTGTTCCATGAGAATAGTGGCATGCAAGCTAGCCCATTTACTCATGGATAGACAATCAATAAAGAATCAAATAAAAAGAGGAGGCTAAACCAAACATTCCTCTTAACTCTATCTTAGTTTCAAGATTTAGTCAACTAAAAGGTATAGACCTTGTAATTACCTAGTGTCAACATATCTATTCCCGACCCAATATCCTTCAAGATTATCATCCCACTATGTTCTTGTTAGAATTTCTTACCATCATGATAAAATGGAAACATATGAAATAAATCATTACCTGCATAACTTCATTTTCTCTCCTTATAGATGATGTGCGCCAACCAACCATATCTATTTGAAGTTTAAAACGAAAATACGGTTAATGAGGCAAATAAAAAAGGATCAACAAAATAACAGGAAAAAGAAAAGGGTACAAGGCATTCAGTGGATACGGTCATAAGCTACATTGGCATAAAGAATGCACGATTGAAAAGCACAAAGGGCAGATCTGCAAGGAAAAAGAAAAAAAGAAGACATCATAGCGACCATTGTGTGACAGCATCCACAACAAACAGGGGCTGAGGGGCCTTTCCACAAACTGAACAAAGATTCAAACTTACATGAATTTCCCTTCTTCACAGTCAGATGCCATTCTTAAGAGAAGTGGCGGTTTATCGGGTTTTGCATCTGTAAGGAACAGCTGACTACCCGTTAGACCCACGACAATAGGGGCTATTGGTAGAGCCAGTTTCTCTAGGAATGGAAGTCCCAGAAGAAAAGGAAGCTGAGAAAAGAAAATGTTAACTAGTTTAGGGACCATTCCAAGTATCAGAATATAAATCCAATTACTATTATTAAAATGTCTGCCATAACAATTTATTTCCCCTATTGCGTGCATGAACAAGAGGAAGCATATTGTAAGCCAAAAACTTGATTTTACAGCTAAAACATTACATTTAGAAATAAGTTTATGGTTTGGGTATTACCAACGGAGGTAGAGACGTTACACACAGGGTAGCGTTTCATTCTATGGTGGAATTACATGACCACAGGATCCATCAATGAAAAGAAAATTCCACTACTAACATGAAGCATGCACATAATAAATCAGACTGGTTTTATTACTGGATAGTTAAGTCATTGGAAGTCTAGTAATCCTATCATCAACCCAACTTAGAATAACTCTCTCATTCCCCTTTTCACTAAACTCAACAGGTATTATGCTTTCACTTTGTAATCATGGTATAGTTGCAATTGTTCATGTCACATACACCATTCAAATAGTTTACATTTGCAATAAAAACATATCCGATTTCATCTAGTGTATGAGGATCCATAAACAAATAACTTGAAATTGGAATTGTAGTGCCAATAGTGATAAAATTTATTTCAAACAGTACCGTTCTAGTGTACATTGTTTTAAAGAAGCATGGACAATATTTTCGACGACATTAGAGTGGAGTGAAATAAAATAAGAGCCCTTCAACCCAATTTGTTGAATATTTGCAGTTTCTTTAGGCTAAAATATTTCGGAGTTTTGTATGTTTTATTCATTGGTCCACGAACAATTTCTATTTTATTTTAAGAAAGTGTTACGAAAAGAAATAATTAATTTCACTATTCAAGTTTTTAAGGTGATTGGATGAAATTAAAATTCTAAGATTTTGACTTGTGTACTAAGTATCACAATTGCACTTTTCTCGGCAGCAGACTTTGCGATTGTGCGGCACTCACTCCCAACACCAAATGAGTCAAGCCAATTTGGATTCACGTCGCCTACGACCAGGCAACATATGCTCAAGCCTCTAACCCCGTTTCGAGAAGAAGATTTTAGA